CTGTACATGCCAGATAAATCTATAAATAAAATAATAAGAAAAAAAGAATAGGGGAGGAAAAAAAAACAAAAACAAAAAAAACAACAACAACAACAAAAAAACCAAAAACCAACAAATGACAGACAAAAGGGGAATTGGTACGTATTATGATTACATATGTAATTGCCAAAATTAGCAATGGGGAGTGTGTTATAGCAGTTATTCTGTTGTACACCTGTTGCCCAACTTTCTCTTTGGTTTCAAATATGTAGATTGGTCAGCATGGCTCTAGCTAGCAGGCTGCAAACAGGATCCAGTTTATGGTATGTTTTCCTTCTGGCCTCCGACCTTTTCCTCAAAATGCTGTGGAGGTTGTGTTTAGGTGGCCAAGGCTGCTGAGCCATTTCGGTGATTCCTCTTCTGCACAGCCATCTGATTTAGTCTGTGTGCATCTGTGCTGCTCAGAGGGGAGTCAGGAAAAAATCTGGCCAGGAGTATGGTACAGCATCTAGGAATAAAAGCTGCCTTACTAGTAGTGTAGGGAGTATCAGAAAGCTAGGGTCTGAGTGATGTTTTGACACTGCCTGGCTTAGATCCTACTTGTTGTAATATTACATATTCTTCCTCAGGCTGCAGCACTAGAAGTCATTGGAGTTTTGATAAGTCCCTGGTTTTAAGCATTTTTTGGTCAGAGATTGAGTTTTGCTAATGGAAAACCTCAGCTCTTGAGCCAAAGAGAATGTTGCTTAAGTCCAGAAAGTCCAAAGACATATAACAGCTTTGCTTTCTCCTGCAGCCCGTGTTTATGCATTGGAACGCAAAATTTCTTGGTGGGTAGAATACTAGAATACTTCTGTTTTTCTTTCTTTTCTTTTCTTTTTTTTTTTTTTTTTAATATTTAATCAAATTTCTAGTGTCTTGTTTGCCTGCCTCTTGGTAAAGGTGTACCTATGCAACAATGCTGCTCTTTCAACGATTTTGCTTATCTTTGGTGATTTCCGTTCATCTACTGTCCTACCCTTTAAAGGGATTACTAAGAATTTCTGTAGTATATGTTTCTTGCAGGGCAGGATAAAAATTGATCCTTGTTTTACAAGGCAGTGTGGCTTTTAACTTTTTTTTTTTTTTAAGCATTACCATTGTTCATTTTAATGTATAATTTTAACATTCCCACAGTAATGGCTGGCTTATTATTTACTATTGTTCTGCCTGTGGTTGGTTTTTAAAGCTAAGTGTGTGTCTGGTTTCAAAGAAAACCTGGGTAGCTAGATGAAAATGTCCCATTAATTTGCATTTAGTTTCTAAAGCTTTGTCATGGAAAAGATTAGTTTAATCAATATGTGAAGATATTTTTGCTCATTTTGTACTTTTCTTGACAGTTTCTTCTCTTTACCAATTCATATAGTTATTTTTTTAGCTTCTGAGGTTAGTGTTGTCATCATTTTGTTCCTCTAGACATCTTTATTGTATGATTATGAAGGAGGAGACGGTAGTCAGGATTTGCAGTTTCTAACAGACATTCCTTCTGATGGATTTAGCGTGATGAAAGACTAATGGGGAGAACATCAAACTCAACAAGGCAGGGCAGTCTGGCAAGACTCTTCTAGTTTTTGGAGAGTTTCAGGAAATAGGATGAAAAAATTGTGCAATACTTTTAGAGTAAATCTCACTCCGTAAATCAATCTAAGCAGACTGGCTTTTTTTTTTTTTTTTCCCCTCTCCTATGAAGTAAGTTAAATGTTTTTGTCATACCTGCAGAGAAGTAATAAAAGGCCAGTAAGGGCAAAGGTTATAAACGAATCATTCAGTGCCAAAAGAGGGTCTATAGATGCTGACTAGCAACAAAGTGAATAAGGCCAGTACTCTGTTCTGATAAATTTCATTGATTTCTGCACTGTGTCATTATGGTTGCAGCTTGCCCTGTTATCTTGTAGCTCCAAACCTTTCATTATAGCGTCAGATGATAACAGCTGTTGATATGCTGCAGGAGGTTGCAGTGACTACCATGAGGGTAAAGTACCATTTGCTAAGAAATAATTAGGAAAAACCTCATGGCTGGGTAGCTTTGATCTGCCCGTGGTGTTGTCCTTGCAGAGGACATTGTATGCCAATACTGCATCTGTTTCCTGGGTGAGTTCATGAAGCCTTTATGAGAGCACACACACTCTACAAAGCAGTATAACCAGAAGGGTCCCACTTGCTGAGTCAGTGCAAGCGGTGTGCTGCTGCGCTGTGCCTGGGCTGCACCACGCCACTGTGTCAAGACCGTCCAATATCCACCTCCTTCGTATAAACATGGATATCTGATGCTCTTAGCTGCTGTGACTACCCTGCTGTCAGTGCCACGTCAGGGCAGCTAATGTCTAGCTCAGGTATCTGCTCACACGTACGACAGCAACACAAACATGTCTGTAGCTGTCAGACTTGCACAAGCCTTCAGTCCGCGATGTTAACAAAACCAGGAAGCTAAACATGAAAGCAGTCCCCAAATTCTGTGTGATTTCTGAACAGTATGAGGGGAGGTACAAGGCACTGCTGAATCCCAAGTATTTTGAACAAGTAACACTGTCCCTTTACTCTAGCTAAGCACAAATCTAAGTCTTAGTTTCTGGTTTGTTTCTGTTCTGATGCTGAGAGGAGAAGGAGGCCTGAAGCACAGTCTTAGAGAACTTTTAGCAAAGGAGAGCACAAGCTGTGGGTGTGTGGTACAACCTGATACTGGCATGCACTACGGGAATGCTGGAGAACTGCCAAAGCACCTGCAGATTGCTGCTTGGCAGGAACATTAGAAAGTACTTGGTTCCCTCTTTCTTACTAGGGGTTGGTAAAAGACTGAGGAAAACTGGGATAAGAGGCCAAAAGGAGCACAAACCAGGTCATGCTTGTAACACTGTATACAGTACTGGAAATAACTCTGGATGGTTTGTTATTTTGAAGAAACTCAAGCTCCAGCTGAGGTGAATGGATTTGAAAGGAACTCCTCTTTATTCAATAAATATGCTGTATGGAGTGAGTTATTGTAAGATTTCCATTCCTCTGCAATCTACCCTGTCGTAGCAGTTCAGGGTGCTGCAGTGTTCTTGCAGTGCTAAAAATATTTTCAGGGGATCAAAGTTCCACTGTTCTTCCACAATTTTATTTCTGTTCTTTACTTTTATATGCAGATTTGTATTACTGGGCAGAAAAGCTTATTTATTTACTGCCATCAATGGAGTAGCCCTGAATCTATCATGTACTTCTGCCTTTGACCTAGCATTTTCCTTGCTGCAGTCCTGTCTGCCTCACTATCCTGAACCTTTTATTCTGCAGCTTCTGAGTATAAATAAAAGGCCAAAGACAAGTTCAAGGAGTCACAGGGAGGCAGTTTCAATGACTTACTGCACAAATACATTCAGGGACAGGCTTGGACTAGGAAGCTGGTGTCAGCTGAGGGAGAAGGTAGAGTACATTAGATGCTATCACAGAAGAGATGAGATGGCTTTTTGGGGACCAGCCTGCTTGCTTGCCCCCTGCTGCTTGTTGCTGCTCTTAAAGACACTGAGCTTGCCTTGGAATAGGCTAGCTTGCTTTCCCTTGGCAAAAAATACCGAGTTTTGTGGGAGATGAGAGTGTAGATTATTGAGCATTAGGATAGGAGGAAGGGTACAGGGAAGCCTACTGGTACCTAAACCTGAATGTTGGTTACACCTGTGACTCTGCTGACACTATTTCAGTTGGAAAGAAGGATGTGGTGATGAGGATATTGCCCAAGTTCTGTAATTCTTAACTTTCATTATGAGAGCACCTAAAATTGAAATATCAGATCCATGGTTGGTCCAAACCCTATGTCTTCATGGGATTTACACAGAGAATAAGTCTTGGCCAGTGTATGTGTTCTACAGTACTTTTATTCTTTATGACTCTGGAACAGTTATATCTTAGAAGTTTTCGTGGTTTTCATGATGTTTTGCAGGGCTCTTTCCTTGTGGCACCATGGAATGCTGTGTTGCTTTTGGGAGGTTGCCACACCACGTTGTCTAGCTCCAGGCTAAGGGATTTTATTTTATTTCACATTGTTTCAGCTGTTTTCACTTTTACTTTATTTCCATCCTCAAGAAGATTTTTTTCATGACTGTGGCAGCACATTGGGTTTCTCAGTTTGAGTTGTAGCTAGTTAAATAGCCTACTGGATTTTTTTTCCCCTTATCTGAGAAACTGTAATACTGCAGCAGCAACAGAATGAATGGTGACGCTTCAGGAGCTGAGCTTTTATTAAAGCGAGGGAAGAGATGGAAAAGCTGTTCTCTCAGAACACTGCTGATCTGAGGTTTTTCTAGCTGTCTTGTTCCTATTCAGTTAAAGTGCCTGGATGACACGCTATCACTCTTGTAAATGTGAAAGGAAATCTTTGGTAGAGTATATAGCAGTGTAATTTGCAATGTAACTGTACGTGTGGTTGGAAATTGCATGCATGTATACACATTGTGAGCTGTTCTTTACAAACTCTGCATTGTTTTGTTATGATTAAAAAAACCAAAACAACCAATGGCTGTGGTGTGGTTTTTTTTTTTTTGGTTTTGTTTTGTTTTGTTTTTGTTTTTGTTTTTACAGTGGTTACTCTCCTGAGCCTGTGTTGCTTGTGTGCTTTATTCCCTTCATTATATAGGATTTCAGTTACTAAGATTGCATTAAATTACATTTTAAATCTCTTACCTTTACATTTCTTTTGTCTTTGAGCCAGTTAAATCATCAATTAAACTGTCATTGTGAAGGAAACCTGAATACATTTGTGTATCAGTAGCAAGAGGAATGTTGACTATCCTACCTAAGGGCTATAACTTAGTGTGCAGTCTTTTGTTGTTTTCTTGGTTTCAGTGAACAGGTAAGTACTGTTACCTTTCATAATAGAGTGACTGTTCACAGAGGGGCTGCTGAAGGCTTTACTGTAATAATAAGGTGAAACTGATACAGAGAGACTCGTCTTGTACAATAAAACATAGCTCCATTTACATCTGAAGGCCTTCTTCTCATTTCTCTTGTAGGACTACCTCGACTGTATCACTGACCAGACCAAGCTCTCCCTGGGGACAGAAGAGCGATCAGCCCTGTTTGGAAACATAAGAGATATCTACCATTTCAACAGGTAAGTTCATATTTAACTAAATGAAAACAGTTCAATAGGATCCGTTAATGGGGAGGGAGCAAGCCAAGCAAATACTCTTTTATCGCTTTAATACAGCCAAGATGGATAAACTGAGAAATGGCCTCTCTTTGATTCTCAGTGGGGTTGGTTTGCTGAGATCAGATTTATTTTTTTTTAGCTGTTTATTTTATGAATCAAATATGGTCTCAATTTACTTTTTTCTTGTTTTCATGCTGGATATTTCCATGAATTTAAGCCTAACCTTCCCTGTGCCCTGACAGAGCCTAGTGCAAGACCATGTGAATGAAATTCTTGCCTTACTACAGAGACATCATTTTATTCCTACTATATTGGGTCCTTTTGTGAACTAGTGTACACCGCCTAGATCTGGTAGTAGTAAAACACTACTTTGGTAGTATTTTATACTACTAGGGACTCCCTGAATTAATTTATCAAAACTGTGTTTGAGTTCTTTCCAGTTTAGTGAAGGTTTATGTTCAATATCTTTGCAGCCTTGTCTAAAACTTCACAGGTAGGATTCTGGTGTTTATTGGGAGCCTGAAGTAAAATTTTTTGCTTGTATGGCTAGTACTATATTGTGTAGGATCTGCAGTATCTGTAGCTTTCAGAGCATGCTACTATTCTTTGTCTGAATTCTCTGTTATTATAAAAATAGTGAAATTATTCAGCATTTAAGGAAAACCTAAATATTCAGTTGATGCAAGAAATACATTGATGTAAAGTTTCCATGTCTTTTGTATCCCATTACTCCTGTAAGAGCTCTCTTTGCTTGTTGATAAAATATCTCCCAAACTACTGTGTTCTTTGAAGAACAGGTAATTTAATTGACACAAAAGAGGACTCTGAAGTGGAGGACAAGCATAAAAGAGCATCTTTCCATGTTTTTCCACTATCATGGGAAGCTACTTTAAAGTGCTTCAGCTGCTGGGATGTCTATTCAGTATCAAAGGGAAGAGTGGGGATGGATCTATTCAGAACTTAGGGACAAAGGTGAAATCTAAAATCTTTTTCTGAAACTTAAAACAGCTACTGCGGAGTAATGGGAATACACTTCACTGGAAGGCTGCTGTGTCCTCCTTTGGCTACACAACTGATGTGACCAAATGTGTGTAACAATGAAAAATACATAGTGGTAACCTGATCATGTGTTTTAGAGCCATGAGACAATGATTGTGAGCTTACAGCTTCTTAGCAGTCACAGGATGGAAAAAAAAAACCCACCAGTCCCCACCGTTATATTTTCTGATACTGGAAAAGCTAGAGAAATGGCAGACTTGCTAGCTGGCATTATTGCAAATATTACCTCATTAAAATAACTTCAACTATGATCAATCATCATACAGAATAATTGAGTTGCAAAAAATATTTGAAGGGGTTAAAATGAAAAAAAGGAAAAAAGAAAATAATAAAAAGTGTTTTGGGTGATGTTAGAGATAGGTATGTAGGTATGTTACAGTGGTTAAAGCTCAGTGGAAAGTTGTCCAAAGCCTCTAGTAAATTACTGATGTATTTCAGGCCTTCTAATTTAAAATTCTGCATGGAAATTATGAGCTTTTAAGACTGAACAGTCATTGTAGATCCCAGTATAGCTTCAAGGATTAAGTTCCCTCCTGTGTGAAACTTGGCATGTCGATTCTGGGTCCTAAACATACTCTGGAGCGTTTTTATTTATTTTTACTTTTGAAAAAGTCCATTTGACAGTTCTGTGTTAGTAGTTTCAGATGCTTTTTGTGAGCATTTTTTAATAGTTTAAGAATTACCTTGTTTTTCTCAACTTTGACCATTAATCAATGGTCAAAAGTTTTAGTCTTGGGGTTTTTTGGACTTCGTATAGATCTGAGAAATTTCATTTCAGTAAACTGGATTTTGTCTTAGCTAAACTACTGAAAATTTTTAGGTGTTGAATGGCAGAAATGATGGTCAGGATAGTAACTGATAGTCTTGTGACTATGATCTCTTTTTAGAAAGCTATTTCTTAAAGGAGAATCACTGACCATATACTGGCCCACTGGTCCTACTACTACTCTTGCAAAAAGCTCCCCCACTATTAATTTATTTATTCATAAGGGGGAAGTATTCTCTAAGTTAGCATTTGCTGCCTTTCTTCCCTGGCTTCTCTTGTTGAGATTCTTTCTAGTGTCAGTTTAAGATAAACTCTCCACCTGATACCCTGACTTGATTCTGAAATAGGAACTCTGCAGAGAAACATGCTCAAGTTTAGTACTGCTACTACTACTCAGATGATCTTGGGAGAGGCCCAGCTGAAACTTCTACTTCTGACCCAGGTCATCCTTCACGATCCTTGTCCACCAGTGACTACTGAAGCACACGAATACAGTGCAGGGCCATTTTCTGTAACTGCTGTGTTCAGCAGTTCCTGTGCTCTAAGCTTCATGGTAGTAAGGGCTGGCTTGTTGTCAGGAGGAGCCTTTATAAAGCCTGTAAGAGCTCACCTTTAATGGAAAAGTTTGTTTTTTTTCTGAATGGAAAGAAATTAGTCTCAGCCATAGGATTTTTGGGACAGTGAAGTTACATCAAAGCTAAATTTCTCTTGATAGATATTTTTTTCTTTTTATTGAAAGTCTGGACTTTTCAGATTAACTTTCCGGAATTTTATATGGTGGAAGTATTCTACCATGAAATCCAGACTGTGCCTGCTATGTCCATTTTTGTTTTGAATGTTGTATTCTGTCAAGCACTGAGAGAATGAAGTTTTTCAGATGTGCTGTTACTTTAGCACTTATGGCTAGACTGCACAGGACTTGGTCATCAACCATTACTTTTTTCTTTTTTTTTTTATCATGGGTTGAGGACAAACCCTGCTGTTTCCTCCCTGCGTCTTTCCATTCCACTAAAATTGCCTGTCTGATGTTCCTGTCATTACCATCTCTTGCTCCAATTTAGATCAGAACAGAGGAGAAAAATACTTGTCTTGTTTTAAAATGGTGTGGTGATGATACAAAATGAGTGACTGTGACCACTGAACCTAAGGTCTTTGTCTGTCTTTGTTCCTTGTGACTGATGGCTGATTTCTCCCCTTCCTTCCTCTAGTAATTAGAGAAGCAAAGAACAAGTCAGGAAACTTTTCTGGTTTACTCCTTTTCTAACTTGCAGAGGGAAATTGTGCCTGCTTAGAGGGGAAAAGGGTAGTTTCCTAGATACAGGCTCAGCAACTCTTATGTGAAATTTATTCAGGGAACCAGCTGTGAGATGGGAGAAAAGTAGCCCTGAACGGAAAATCATCTGATGAGAAGGGGGTGGGGGAAGGAAAGTTCTATCAGAGAACAATTTGGCAGAAAACTCAATTTCTTCTCTCATTTTAAAATACAGTGTTCAGTAAGACTGTTTGGATCAAGGAGAGACCTTTGATGTTTTTTTCTTCTTCTGCTTGAACTCTTTGTTTCATTGAATTGGCTTTTGAGAACTGAGTGTCATACAATAGAGACCATGCTCTCTTACTGCTCTAGTCCTGTTACAATTTAGTTAATTTCCTGCTTGGCATGTAAGAAATATAAAATCTTCTCAGTAAATTTTATTTTTATGCGTGTAGTATTTCTATATTCCCCTCCAGAAAACTTTTTCCATGCTAGTCATTTTTCTTCAGTGAACAGACTCACTAAAGGTAGAAAAATTTTCTTGAGTGGGATTATTATCCCTCTTCTTGTATGTGTAGAATCACAGAATCATTTTGGTTGGAAAGACCTTTAAGATCATCGAGTCCAAACACAAACCTAACACTACCAACCAAATCCACCACTAAACCATGTGCCTGAGCATCTCATCTACATGTCTTTTAAATACCTACAGGGATGATGACTCCACCAGCTCCCTGGGCAGCCTGTTTCAGTGCTTGATAACCCTTTCAGTGAAGAATTTTTCCTAATAGCCAGTGTAAACCTCTCCTGGCACAACCTGAGGCCATTTCCTCTTGTCCTATCTCTTGTTAGTTGGGAGAAGAAACCATCATCCACCTCATTACGGCCTCCTGTCATGTAGTTTTAGAGGGTGATAAGGTCTCCCCTCAGCCTTCTCTTCTCCAGGCTAAACAGCCCCAGTTCCCTCAGCCACTCCTCCTAAGACTTGTTCTCTAGGCCCTTCAACAAATTCCTTGTCCTTCTTTGGACACACTGCAGCACCTCAATGTCTTTCTTGTATTGAGGTGCCCAAAACTGAACACAGTACTCGAGGTGCAGCCTCACCAGTGCCCGCGTACAGGGGCATAACCACTTCCCTACTGCTGGCCACACTAGTGCTGATACAAGCCATGGTGTTGTTGGCTCTCTTGGTCACCTGGGCACACTGCTGGCTCATGTTCAGCTGACTGTCGATCAACACCCTCATGTCCTTTTCTGCTGGGCAGCTTTCCAGCCACTTGTGCCCAAGCCTACAGCGTTGGCTGGCATTGTTATGACCCACGTGGAGGGCTTGGCACTTGGCCTTGTTGAACCTCACACCATTGGCCTCAGCCCATTGATTCAGCCTGTCCAGATCCATCTGAAGAGCCCTCCTACCTTCAGGCTTATCTACACTCCCACCCAGCTTTGTATCATCTGGAGATTTACTGAGCGTGCAGTTGATTGCTTCATCCAGATCATTGATAAAGATATTAAAGAGAACTGTCCCCAGTACTGAGTCCTGAGGAACACCACTTGTGACCGGCCACCACCTGGATTTAACTCCATTCACCACAACTCTTTGGGCCCAGCTATCCAGACAGTTTTTTATCCAGCAAAGATTATGCCTATCCAAGCTATGAGCAGCAAGTTTCTCCAGGAGGTTACTGTGGCTAACTCTCAAAGGCTTTACTAAAGTCCAGGTAGACAACGTCCACAGCCTTTCCCTCATCCACTAAGCAGGTTATTTTGTCATAGAAGGAGATCAGGTTCATCAAGCAGGACCTCGCTTTCATAAATCCATGTTGACTGGGCCTGAACCCTTGGTTGTCCTGTATGTGTTTCATGATGGCACTCAAGATGATCTGTTCCATAACCTTCCATGGCATCAAGGTCAGACTGACAGGCCTGTACTTTCCCAGATCCTCCTTTTAGCCCCTTTTGTAGATGGGAGTCACACTTGCTAACCTCCAGTCCACTGGGACCTCCCTAGCTAGTCAGGACTGCGGATAAATGAAGGAGAATGGTTTGGTGAGAACTTCTGCCAGTTCCATCAGGACCATTGGGTGGATGCCATATGGCTTGTGTATGTCTAAGCAGAGCAGCATTTCCCACACCACTTCTCCTTGGATTATGGGGCCTTCAGTTTGCTTCCTGCCCCTCTCTTCCAGCTAAGGGGACTGGGTACCTGGATAGCAGCTGGTCTTAGTGTTGGAGACTGAGGTGCACAAGGCGTTAAGTACTTTGGCCTTTTCCTCATCCTCAGACGCTATGTTTCTCCCTGCATCCAATAAAGGATAGAGATTCTCTTTAGCCCTCCTTGTTGCTGATGTATTTATAGAAACATTTTTCTGTTGTCTTTCATAGCAGTGGGAAATTCATGTTCCAGCTGGCATTTTTATTTTCTCCCTGCATAACCTTACAGCATTCCTGGGTCTTACCTGTGTGTTTCAGGCCAGCTCCTCATCTTCCTCAGTCAAGTAAAGCTCCTAGAACACACAAAGTCTTTATAAGACAGGGCATGTGCTTCCATGTCCTTTAAATTGTGTTAATTTTGAATTGTGTTAGTTGATGCACAAGCTATATAAATATCTGACTACACCATTATGAGTGTAGTAGAAGAGCTATCAATCTGAAGGAAGAGTCTCAGCTTTGCTTAGGAGATCAATCCATGGTCATTGTGATGGCATTTCTTTAGAGTGCTCCTCTGCCTCCAAACAAAAAAAATCCTATCGACTATACATCTAGAGGGAAGAGGGGCATCAAAGGGATTCTTTTTCCCTTTTTTGGGACTCCCTGCCTCATTAAGAGCTTTGGGCATCACTGCCATGAATGAAGCACTGACTGGCTCCAAAAATACAGGCGTGTCTGTTTCAAGGTGTGGCATAATTGTCTTTCCTTTTCCTGTTCTTTATTTTAGTGAACTTCTGCAAGATTTGGAAAACTGTGAAAATGATCCTGTGGCTATAGCAGACTGTTTTGTTTCCAAGGTAAGTAGCTAATGCAGGAGTCTGCAACGCAACAACAGTTGCAGAGTGATATGGGGGAATAGGATAAATTTATTAGTTTTTGAGACCTAATTTTGACAGCCTGTGTGACTTTGATCAAGAAAAGTTAGCAAATCCATTGAAAGGGAAGGCATTTCTCGTAGACGAGAGGAATATGATTCTGATTTGCATTTAAAAAAAAATGTTATTTTTATTAAGTGTATCTGAACTGTTGGAACTGTTTATTTAGGGTTCATTTATGGACCTTTTTTTTGTGGTATGTTACAGGGATTCATTTTTTTCCTCCTGTTTTTAATATAGGTGATCAAGTGATGCTCCAGTTGTGCCTTGTCAGTTTAAAACCAACTAGAGAATACAACTCAGCTGCCTTTTTAGAAAAGGCAATAACCTTAACATACTTGTGGCCACTGAGATGTATTTTCTTCCTGAATCCAGCAGTCAGAGCTTTAATTTTCTTTTCAAAGTGGATGGCTCAAAGTCTAGCCTTAAGATTCAGATCTATTCTCTGAAATACTTGCCAGATGAATGTTGAGAACATTTCATCTTCATTCGATTGGGCAATTCTGAATGCAAAAGTATGGAAAAGGAAAAGTGGTCAGGTGTGGGAGAAATGCAGGGAATCAAAGCAGGTGTGTTTCATTCTAGGAAGCAGAGACACAATTGGGGAGAACTAGAAAGGCTATAATGGGTAGGACAACAAGAGATGAAGTAATTTTGGCTACAGATGACTGCAGTTCACTGCAGATTTCACTGGAGAACCCACACTTGCCTTGAATCTGTAGAGCCCAAATGTGTTAAGAAGTAATGCCATCTACATGGTATTTCTGGGGGAAGAGGAATGGAAGAGGAGCATGTAGTACTTTAAATTTGGATAATCTCTCTGCAGCTCTGTGTCTGTCTCCATTAAAAGAAAATAAATAAAAAACCCAACAGCAACAACAACAAAAAAAAACCTCACAAAACTTACATGTTTTAGGCTCTATTGTGAAATCAGTATTGCCCGCACCAAGCATTCAGTAGAATAGGTCTAATACAAGAATTTTGGATTAACTGGAGCACTCTATGGTTTTTGGCTCTGTTGTGACAGAAGGGATTTTATTGGAAAGGGGAGTGATGATGCCAGTTTAAGGCTGCCATTTCACAGGATCATTTGCTTGAGCCGAGTTTGAGAAAGCTTGTTTAGTAAATGATCTTTTGTAAGCGCTGGGAAAACCCTAGTGTTGGGACCACTACTACAAAAGTTGGATTTATTTTTGCCTCATTGCAGTGGGGTTTATGGCATATTGCTATTGCTCCAAATAGCCTAGACTGAATTGAAGGAGAGAGAATGGGAGAAGGGCAAGTGCAAGGTCCTGCTTCAGGAATGGAATAACCCCACATGCGCACTGGTTCCAGCTGACCAGGAAGCAGCTTGGCAGAATTGGATCTGGGTTGCTGGTGAGAAAGGAGTTCAGCATAAGCCAGCAGAGTGCCTGTGCAGTGAAGGCCAATTGTGAGGCCTTCAGGGTATTTACAGATAGCACAGTTTACAGCTGGTAGATTTTTCTGCTGTACTCCTTGCTTGTAGCTGGGATGGGTGAGACTACTTCTGGCTGGGACATGAAACAGAGGTGGTGCAAGTGATAATAGCAAGTCCAGGAAAAAGTTGCACTCGTGTTCATATTGGCCAGCTGAAAGAAGTTTTCTGGTACACTTTCTGGCCATTGGTTCCAAAATCCATCTGCATGACATTGCTTGTGCTTTGTGTTCCTTTGTCAAATGCTTTTGGCATTTGTATTATTGGCAGGCAGTTGCCTGATGGCTCAGAAATTGCTGGAGATTGCAGTCCTAAAAAGCATTTTTTTATCTACATCCAGACAAGTGCAAACACTTAAAAGCAAAGTCAAACAATACCAAAATACCCCACAGTTCTGGTTTTGGCCATGAAGATGTCATTACAGCAACTGCTGAGCGTCTTAACAGACTCCAGTTGTGCATTCTTGATTGCTTGTATCTTTCCAGCATTGGGTAGTGGAAACAAAACTGCCTTTTTTGGTAGTATGCAGTGCTCCTAGTCTTATGGGACTTCGGCCATTTATTGTTTGATTGCTCTGAGTGTGCTTGATCCTCACTGTGACTTAAGTATGGGGATAATATCATGCTGAAGTCATAGCTCACAGCCTTAGCTAATGAATGTAGCTCCAGTGGAGCTTCTCTAATGCTTCCAGTGGAACTGTGCTTAGGTTACATGAGCTCTGGCTCTTGTGCTGTCTTTTCACCCTACTGATTCAGTTGTGAATATTGTAGCTGTTGAGGATTTAAACATTTAATCAAGTTTCCACTGTAGGTTTTGTGTTTATTTTTTGCATTTCATGAAGCTCAGTTAGTTGAATAAAGTAATAGTAATCTCTTTCTTCAGGATTTGTGGAAAATGGCACAAGTTGGTTTGTGTGCATAACAGGACAGTTATGGTTAAAGTTTGTCTGGAAATTCTTGCAACTAAAATGTTCAGTATTTGTGAAAATATCTAGAGGGATGCCTTTTGTGAGATCTAGTTTTGGACCATATTTGATGGACTGTTTCTTTGAAATTGACTTGGTTATTTGTTTTTGCTTAATTAAATTTGCTGTACAGCATTTCATACTTCCCTCACACAATCCTAAATCACTGTATTTCCTGTGTATAACTTTCATGCTTGAGTAGTAAACAGCCTTACAACTTCTGCTTCCAAGGGAAATAGAGTAAGGTTTATCAAATCACATTAGCACACATTGAACAAAATCTCATAAATGTGCATTTGAATCTTTATCTTAGTATTTGTGCTGGGTACCCAAAATTAATATCTCCTAAAATGGCAGACTTTTTGCTTCTATTTGTTAACGGACTTTAGCAAGATGTCTTTAGTGTAAAGTAGACAGCAATGTGAAGCTCATTAACAAATAAAATAACCATGAAAATATCTGTCTTTATATAAATAAAAATATTTAATAATAACTTACAACATTGTATTAAACCCCAGATATTTTAATTCATTAGTAACTCACAGGCAAATAAACACAAATGCAGAAAAGCATGATTTTTTTAAAACCTCCAGTCATGACCTTTCTGCCCCAAGGTGCAGATGGTATGGATGGGTATTTGTTTAAACAGTGTGGGATGGGTTCTGCATGGAAATAACTTGGCACTGAGGGTAGTGATGTACTAGTTTAGTTTCTACCAGCTCTGGTCTTGCCTCTTTGTCTAGAGGAACTGTATTAACTGCAGTATGTTGAATGACTTGAGAGGCATTTTGCTGGTAACTGTAATCGGAGGCTGATAAAAGGGTTCCAGTGCAAGCTTAGCTATAGCTTAATTATTCACATAAAAGATTGTTTATAAGTTTTCTTGCCAACTCAGTCTTTCATTTTCCTAGTAATGATGCCAGTGTTAATTAGAAGATTGACTTCAGTATTCCACACATTTACATTTAAGTGAGTTGTTGTAAAGGACAGCTTAATTCTGGCACATTGCTCTTCTCACTCAGCACCCCAGAAATTCAGAACATATGTTTTTGAAAGGCACACCAACAGCTTAACCAAAGGGAAAGGGAGAATTACTCTAATCTAAGATCTCATTAATGAAGAGGCGATCCAGGCAATTGGCTTCAGCTTATACTCTGACTTAGCTCATTTTCTCAGTCTCCGTTTTCTTTTAAAGTGCCTTTTATAGCCGTAAAAAGTACGGTGCACCAAGAGTTGAGAGGAGATCCAGGATGTAGCCACGTGCTTGGCACTTCATGTGGAGGAGAGGTTTAGTGAATTAATTCAGCAGCGAGGGGCTATGAGCAGCTAGTATAGCTGGGATCGGCTTGCGCTTGGCTCTACTCTTCTGGATTAGTTGTAGTCAGTGCAGATGAACTCTTGGCTTGGGTCTCAGTTTTTGCACCCTCTACTACACCAGCTTTGGGATCCCAGATTAAAAAAAGATCTCTGGAGCAATTCCAGTCTTCCTGAAGAGATCATTTTTGATTTGGTTTGAAGACAGTTAAGACAAACAAAACAGCTTTCAAGCTGAGTAATTTTAAGATTGTCTAAAGAAAAACTGAGTACAGCTGGTGTTTCGCTTGCTGTGTGCTCACTCTGGGGTGTCCACTGTGAAGCAGAGAAGACCAGATGGGCATGTGAACTAAAGGGCCCATCTTTGTACATCCTGAGTAGTGCGGCTTACTTAGACTTATGAAGAGCTTCTCCTGGAAGTGGCTCTCTTGGCCACTCTCCCAGTGTGTTCATGTGAATCCTGATGATGCCTCAGCAAAGTGTATGAAGCTGATTCATACCAGCATCATAAGTTTGAATGCTTATGAACAGTCTAATTCTGCAGGCAAAATATATGTAAATGACTTTCACTGGTAGTGTGCTTATATAGCTTGGAAACAGTGAATGCTTTCTGGTGGTTTTGTTTGATTAAATGACCTGTGGCACAGTGAAGCATGTAAATGCGATATGGAATTTGGAATCTTGTTTGTCTTGTCTGTTCTGAAAGCAGGGGTGACTGTGAAACCATTCCTGAAGTTTTTAGAGATGTTGAGGGCATAAGGAACTACTTTTTTTTAAAAAAAAAAAATAAAAAAAAAAAATGCAAGTTGTTCCGGTTTATAGCTAGACTAACATTCTTTTAAAACCAAAAATCCCATTGAAAATAGTTTTGTGTTAAAAAAAAAAAACAAAAACTGAAAAAACAAATCACACCCCACCCCCCTGCCCAGAAAATGCAATACGAAACCCGGAATGGAAGCGTGTGAAAAGCCTCCTGGGGATTTCAGACTTGCTTTTGATTTTGTGGGGAATATTCACTCTGTCGACTCTGAAACCCTGAAATGTTTGGCTTTGTGTTTTTTACAGATTATGCTTTTGTGTGTTAAAATTTCCCCACAAATACTCCTTTATTTTTTTTTTTTCCTCTTTT